GTAAATATTTCGCATGACCTTAACTATGACATTTAATATCCTTGTCATATTTGTTTGCTAATTTTATGATGATAGTTAAAACATAAAGCCGTCATCTTTTTTGAGCTTCTGAGGCGACAGTATCATGTCTTTAATCAGTAGATGATGATTTGTAAATTTTAACATTATTCATCTAATTATTTTCTTTTTTTTTGTCAAAGGTCAAGTTTCTGCTGATAGTTGTCTGTCAACATCAATTGAATTTTCTTATCATCTTGTTAAAGATACATCATCACCAACATCATTTTCTATTGATACACGTAATGGTCGAATAACTGTAACAAGAGAATTAGATCGAGAAATTCAATCATTCTATAAATTTTATGTTGAGTCATTTAATCATAAAAATCATCAAACAAGTCAAACTGAAGTTCATATAAATATACTTGATGAAAATGATCATTATCCAATATTTGATAATTCATTAAATAATGCTCGTGAACAATACATTTATATAAATAAATCTTTATCATTATCACGTCGTCATGAAACCGATCAAACAACAAATAATATATTTATTGCACGTATATATGCAACTGATGAAGATGATGGTTCAAATGGTGTTGTTAATTATTATTTTACAAATAATGATAATTATGCTTTTTTTCATTTATATTCAAATGGTTCAATTGTACTTTATAATCAAAATAATCTTCAATTACCATATCGTCTTGAGATTTGTGCACGCGATCAAGGTAATCCAAAACCACAAAATTCAAAAGATAGTATTGTTATATATATATGTGATGGTTTAAAACGAGAGGAATGTCCATCAGATGAATCTTATCAACAACATCAAGAATGGTTATATTCTTATGATAATAATAATAATAATCAATATAAAACAAATCCTTCAACAACAAATTTTTATCTTGGATCAGTATTTATAATGATATCAATACTTTTATGTATTGTTATTATTATTTTTTGTATTGTTTGGAATTTAATTATTAGAAGACATTTAAAAAGTAAACATGAACAAATGCATAATAATGGTTTAAAATCACCAACTGAATCATATAATTGTCGAATGGAAGCACGAAAAAATCTACGTAAAAATTATTTGTTTATTTTAATTTAATTTTGTTTTTTTTTTTGTTTTATAGTTGTTTCGGATAGCCTTTGTGATTCATCGCCAATAATTGATGGTAATCATCGTTTAAAATCTGTAGCTGTATAAATAACATATATATATTACTTGATTCATACCCGGTGGTTTTTGAAAATGATGAAGAAGAAAAACTTGGTATGCCTCAAATATGATAGGTGCTGCTTTAATGCATGATCATGACTGACAAGATTACATTGACATTTTATTCGAAAGGAAGGGGGAAGCTGTAATTTTGATTACTTTAATTGTTATTCATTGTTTTCAATGGCAAATAAGAGATTTAGCATTTTCATCCTTAAATACCTATACAATCATATTAGTTACTTGTAAAAAAAAACAGATGTATATATAAATACCAGTGTAGAAACTAGTGTCTTATATTCAGGAAGAGAAACGAAGTCTTACTGAATACTGTAACTATTTGAGAACATAGATAGAATTCATATCGATATGAGATTTTACTACATTTAACAAAAAGTGCAGTAACTATTTAAATATCCTTGCAAGATAGAGTTTTTAGTTTTATACTTAGAAATTTTTCCTTACGTGCCATTAAACCTGCTGTCTATAAATATTTAATGAATCACCTTTGTTAATATGAACTAACTATTGAACTGTTAAATCGAATGTATTAGAGTATAGTTTTAGTGAGTTATTGTATTAGTATTAACAACTAAATTAGAACAGACTATATATATAAGTTGCTTATTAGGGCAACATTCTATTCGAACGAGATTTTATCGATGATTGAAAAATATGTGAAACTTTTCTCATCGCTTATTTTATTCTATCCAACTAAAAGAAAAACGATAAGTAGAATAAAGATAAGAAAATTTTTATTGAAACTTGGCAGGTACGCTATAACCACACAGAATAAAATACTGATGAAGTTTTAGAAAACGATTAGAATTCATCGGGTAGAAATGATAAAAGATATCTTTACTGCCATTGATTACAAACGGTTGTCAATAACTGGCATCAACTACATACAGCTTCCCCCTCCCACACATTCACTTGTCTTTTTTTCTAATTTTTTTTTTGTGTACAGTCTTGTCAAACAGTGTGTGCTGTGCTTGATTTCCTTTTAGTTTTTTTTCTTCAGTAAAAAATTTGTTATTTCGTAGTCGAGTGGTTTGCAATAAATTTTCGATTTAAAGCGGGATTTGTTTTTTAATGAATAGATATTTTCTTCCAAGAATGAAGAATATTGGTATTGATAATAAATTTATTATGGCTCTGTATGAAATCTGATAGTAAAAGTTTTTTTTAGTCGTTTTTTATAATACTTACGGATTGTGTTTTTTAATTTGCAGCCGATGAAATTCATCCTGGAATTTCTGCAAAACGATTTCTATCATAATTAAAGATGATTTTGAATATATCATTTTCATGGTTCTATAATAATTAAGAGCATGATATTTAGATCGTAAGCCATAATAGACTTGTACTTTTTTCGTTCTATTATAAAATGCTTTTTCGTATTTAAAAAATCACATACTATTAATATACGTATTTAACATGATCATGACAACGACGTATAAAACGGACATTATATCATCTGATGGAAGAATGTACTTTTTTCCCAAGGACGTACGACTTTGGCTTTTGATTAAACCAATTACAGCAAGCCTTAACATCAAAGATTAATCACTTACTATTATATGCGTAGTTTGATTTTTCTTCTAATAATCGACAATGGAAGAAAAGGAATAAAATAATATATCAAAACAGCCGTTTGTTCTCACCACCCCCATTATAGAGCGTGATACGAAATAGCTATGGCCTTTCGATCTCGACTATATAAGCTATGCATTTTTTGGCAGAATATCAGTAAGATTTTACGATTTCAATTTTATTGTTGTTGGTGACGACAAACAACGATGGTGTTTTTCAAAATGATTCAAATGGTAGATGCTAGTGAGAAATATGGCGATGGACAACAAATGGTGGTAGCTGCAGAACCAATTAATACCGGTGATAAAATCTGGTGGTGTACATGTGGTGATGATGATTATATGATGTCTAGAGATGAAATCTGTCATTTAATCAAAACACAACCAAATTTAAAAAATTTCCTTTGTTGGTATTCATATATGGTAAATAATTTTATAAACATTTATTTTATTATTAGTATTATTTTTTATTGATTTCTAGGCTGAAGACGATATGTATATGATTCCTCGTACATTTGATGCTCAACAAAACAATGATGAATGTGTTTTGTTTAATCATTCATGTGAACCAAATTGTGGTTTTGATTCAGGTGATGGAAATACAATTGTTGCAATACGACCAATTGCTATTGGCGAAGAATTAACATATGATTATCATTTTCTTGAAACAGAACCATCATTAATTCGTGGTATGGAATGTAAATGTGAAGCACCATCGTGTGTCGGTAGACTTATGTTTGATCGTTACCGTGATGAAGAATTTCAAAAGCGTTATTATGATTATATGTCACCATATTTACAATCACGTGTACGTGAATTGAAAACAAAATGGTATTCAGGAAAATGTTTTACACGATCAGAAACACCAATTAAAACGAAATCTTTACATGCACTTGAATGGATTCCAGCTGGTGAAATTGTAGCACGTTTTTCAGGTGTAGTTCAGCCTGATAATCATTTTATTCGTTCAGTTAATGAAGAAGAAGCTACATGTGTTCTCGATGATAATAAACAAGTAATTGCTGTCTGTGATTTACCACCAGAAGCTGAAATTACATTAAATTATCATGGAAAGCTGTAAGTTTTGATATAAACTCCTATAATAAATATATATGTTTATATTTATTTGTGTTTAGGTTGTAATGAAGGCTGGTGTGTGTATATCACTTATTTAATCGATTTTCCTCAATATATAAATTAAATGCTCGAAAGCATGTTTCATGTTCGATGAGCTCCATTCGGTGATGGTGGTTTCATTCAAAAACGAATTCAATTGTACAGTCTCTTCGGCGAAGAGAACATTTCACATTTGAAATATCTTTTTTTTTCGGTGAATGCTTTAATAAATAAAGATATTTTCAAAATATTAAATCAATCATTGAATATATATTATAACAAAAGAAATCGAAACTAGTTAGTCCAAGAAAAATAAATCGTCCTTGATACATATATGATTAGACATACGAAATATAAAATAGGTCATGATACTAAATATATCGTAAAGAGCGTATTGTTATCATATCAAAAAAACATTTAAATTAATTAGAATAATTCGGTATAAATATGAAGGTGTTATGATGTATTGCAGTCTGAAAAACAAAAAACACTCTATTGATATACTTGTAAACAACTTATTGTGAATTGTTTATAAATGAATCCAAATATAAAAGAGTATTACATAAAATTTTTGTAATGTATTATAGTAAAATATATGATAATAGAAACTGCAAGAACTAACTTTCATTGATCACAATCGTTATTTCTTCAGTAGTAAAATATTATAAGAAAAAAAGAGGCAAATATATATATACAAAATACCGTTTAACCTTTATTCGAAGTATAAGATCTGTCATTGAACCTTTCAACTATGTAGTTTAAGATAGACAGAGTCGAGATTCCCATTTTCTTATCACAAATTCTTGCTCTAATTGTTTATACAAAGTTCACTCTTAGGAGTATAACTAAAATTTGTCAATTCAGAAACATTTAATTAATATATTTTTATCCTTAAAATATTATTCGAATATAATTATATTAAAAACCATAAAATTTACAAGCTATTTCTCAAGTATTCTACTAATTAGTTTAATCTAAAAATTTTTCAATAAAAATACATTTATCGCAAATGTTGACAAAGAATTACGGCATTTTTCCTGTCGAGTAAAATTTATAAAATCTGAATATTTACTTATAACAGGAAAACATTGTATTGATACCTTTCAAAAATAAAACTTATTACATTACTATCAATGTTGTTCTCGTTGTTTCTTTTTTGGTAATAAATAATAGTAAAATTTGTTTTAGTTATTTCGATGAATATATTAATTTTCAAAGTTAAAATAAAATAGATTACATTTAAATAAACAATCAAATATATCTAATTCAAGTATTTTCCAACTAGTATGACATAGCTTTATTTTCTTTAAACTTCATTCTGTTGTCCAATCATAATCAGTTGGTTCATATCTTGGATTAAACATAACACTAGTTATATCTTGTTTTAATCGTACATTTTTTCTATCTAAACAAATAGCCATAAGTATAGATGGTATAGTTGGTATTATTCCCTCATGTATGTTTGCTCCACAATTCTTCCCCGTATCCATTAATAAATGATAAAAATTAAAAAATTCATTATTTAAATTTAAAAATAAATTAATCATTGTTTGTAAATTTTCACACATAATTGAACAAAAATCAATCATTGTAACTAATTGTTGATCTCGTTGTTTATTTTGAAAACAAGAAAGATAATTTTGAAATATTAATTCATGTAAATCTGTACAAGTAAATTTTCCTGATATTCGTTGTTCAATTAATTGATCATTTATAGATTTCATAACACATGTATTTGTATGATTAAAATAAATTTGGGCATTTTTGGTTAGTTGAGAAACATATTTTTTTGTTGATAATAAACATAAATCATAACTAAACCTTGTTAAATGACTATCACGTCCACATGGATATTGAGCATCCAAACAGGGAAAATAATCACAATCATTTATAACTAAAAATCGATTGCACACATCCGATCGTCGAATTGATTTTGTATGAAATATATATATTAAATAAAATAATATAAAATATTGAAATATTCTTTTATATTTTGTAACATATATTACACCGTTACACATGGTTGACTGATATTGAGAATGATAAAAATATGCTGTACAAAGAAAATGATTATGGAGAATGACGAACGTAAAAAAAAGACTGCATTTTGTAATATGCACGTTGTAAATTATATGCTCGGGTTAGCTGAATAACATACCTGAATTAAATATACATGATTTATAGAATAAATATTAGACAGAGCAAAGCTTTTTCTTCCTTTTGTGAAACCAGCAGAATCAATATTATTTTTAGATACGTCAGAAAAAAACGCAATATTTTTAAATTATGCCAAACAATGATCGAAAATTTTATGGTATAGTAACATATAATTTAATGAAATATTTCTTTTTATATTATTCAATAAATTCTAGAAATCAACCTTTAATGATGTCATACTTACTAATTTTAAAGACATTAATATAAATATAAATTATTAATGGTTTTGAGAATGATTTTAATGTAAAGATGATAGAATCAGACGTTGCAAAGGTGTATATTCGAAAGTCAGGATCGTAAAATTTGTTTGAATAATGGTTTTTAAGATCAAATCTAAATAAAAATCGATGAAGTAATAATAATTATTCAAAACTAAAATGTACGTTGTACGAAATAGTTTTCTCTTCTCTATAGTGCTATGTAATCATACTTTAGACAAAATTTCATATTAAGCAGAGATATGATATGACATTTTTGTTTCGATGTTAACTGTACCCTATGGCTCAATCATACTTTCATGTTGTATCTCTAATTGACAATAAATATGATGTAAAATATAATAGTATATAAATAAAAAAAAGGAACAATTCTTACACGTGAATGTACATAGATCGATCGAAAATGATCGATTAGTTTTGGTTATTTTTTTCGCTTGATGTTCAGTCGCCGGTAAGTGGTCAATCAACCGAAAAACTAAACGGTCAATCGATGATGAACCAAGTTTTATCTGGTTAACTTGCAGGTGAGCCATAATTAAAAATCACTCGAAAAAATAACCGAAACTAATCGATCGTTTTCAATCTGTTTATACAACATCAAATCGTAGAAGATCAATTGTACAGCAATGTATTTTTTCCAGATATATACTTCTAATCTTAGTTATTTCTTTCGTTATCTGCTCTCTATATATACGTAACTATTGTCTTATAAATATTTAGCTATGAAAAATATTTCTAAATGTCAAAGCAATTTCTTCTGTTCAAAATTAGAACATGCTAAATTTTAGTTTTCAGGAAATTCAGATTACGGGTTTGGTTTATCGAACACTTACCTATGCCCGATCCCAACTCAACCTAAAAAAATTTGCTTTGATTCATTAGATCAATTATTCTATTTCAACGTGTCATATTTGGAAGAGCATAGAAGAACTAAAAATAAATAAGCATCATAGTCAATAGAAAATAATGTCGTTCATTTACTACTGCTACTAATATGCTTTTTCAGGTAAAGGAAACCAGTAAATCGGTCATCACTTCCTATCCAAGTCGTAGGGGGATGAACCAACTTAGGATATTTCATTACTCACTAGGATCTACAAGATCGAAGTACTCCGAATTCAAAAACTTTTTATCACCTTGAAAGATTTCCTCGTGAGCTCGAACTTGTCATAAGGTCATCTCTATTTCTGAAGTTGAGGTGAGTATGGGAATTTAATTTTATTTTACATATTTTTCTAGTAAAAATTTTCATATGCGATCTAAAAGGACTATTAAAGTGATATTTCACATTTTAATCCCTCGTAGAGATTTCATCAACAGCTTTTATATTAATATGAATTTCTTATACTTATTTGTCAAATTATCGATTTAAACTCCCATAAAATCTAACTCTCATAGTTTTTTCTATCTGCCTTTTGTGGAAATAGAAACCTTCGATTTTTATAAGAGAACGAGGAATAATCATGCAAACTTTAAAAGAAAAACATTAATAATTGAAAGACATACAATGGAATTTCTTACTTCTATGAGTCACTTCCTTTTGGACAATTAAAAAGAAAAATACTCTGATGCCGATGTACAATTCATTCTGTAAAAATAGATTGAATATATTACATTGATATGCACATTACTAGAGATTATTTATAGACTGTTTTTATTGGATATCATGATTTCCTTCCACGTCATATTGATTCTGTTGTCAAGATAACAAAGAAAAATGAAAGAAAATATTTTTTAAAAAATAAGGAATAAAAATAATTATTTGAAAACTTTGGTTTTTTCAACACTAACGAACAGTTCAAAGAATATATCATTAGAAAAATCTTAATAAAAGTCAAAAAGACTGGAACTATTTTCTCAGTTAATAGTGTGTGTGATGAAATATTTTGAAAAATTATAACATTCGCATCTCTGTAATCAATAGAGTTAGTATTGCTTGTTCTCAAAACTTAGTATTAATTCAAGTGTCTCTCTATATTCGAAAACAAGTTACATAACATTGATGAATATGAAACAATCAAAATTATGTGAATTAAATGTTAATCTACGGTTAGATAAAACCGATAGACATTATCCTTATTGAAAAGTTTAGTTAATCATACCATAGTAGAAATTGATGGCAGTGAAATCAAGTAATTCAAACGATTAGATCTTCAAAAAACCAAATTGTAAAATATTATATCCAATATGTTTATATTTTCCTACAATATTTAATGGTTTCAATTATTTTTTACTATTTCCGTGATTGCATGATTATATAATATAATCTTTTAAAGAGAAAATCTTTCTGATTTCTTTTTCCTATATAAGCAGATGTCGCAATTTAAAATCCATCATTTACCCAATCGTCTAAAGAACTTGGACATTCGAGAATATTTATATTTTTTTTGCTTCCGTAAGAACAAACAGGATTCATTTATTATAATTCTTTTTTCTATAGATTATCATAATGTTCAAACGTAAATTAACTGCACTTGAATATGGAAAAGATTATAACCCACAAGGTAAACAAATGTTCATATATTTATTTTTATCTTATTTGTATATGTTTTTTCCAGATGAAAACCAGTTTCGACGAATGGTTGTATGGCTTGAAGATATGAAAATACGTTTATATCCTATTGATGAACGACAACAACTTCGTGATACTGATAATCCTCAATGGGAACAAGCTTTTTCAAAAGTAAAATATCGAATAAAATATTTGTTTACATTATTTAATTTTTCTAGTATTTACAAGATTTAAAATGTCCGTATAATGAAGAAACAATTAAAGACCATGTAGCTGTTAGTGATTGGCTTCTTGGAGCAGCTATTCGTTTTGAATATGGTGATAATGGTAAGATCTAATTTATTTTTTCATTCTAAAACAACGAAAATGATTTGTTTTTAGTTGAAAAATATAAATTAATTACATCGAATGATCAACAACAAAAAACAAATTCATCAGACCAAAATGAGAATCCATTAGAAAAAATCGATTGTAAATTAAATTTGTCTGATATAAATTATTTCAAATTATTTCTTTAGTTGCAAGTGCTGAATTTAAATCTGGTATGTTACAATTATGTGAACTTTTACAAATTCCAACTAAATTTAATGATACAACAGCTATTCTTCGTGTAAAATTCTACAAATATTTTTTCCTTTTGTGTCTTATTATATTTCACTATTTAGGCTGTAAGTAAAGTAATAACAACAAAATTATCCAAAGAAGCCATTGACAAAAGTCAAATAAAAGAACAAGTAAAAATGATTATTCTTTTTTTTGAAATATTAAATTAATATTTTTGAAAAATTCAAAAGGGTACCGGTGTTGATTTCTCTATCGAACAAATGTCACTTGGGTTTGATAGTGGTGATAAAATAATAAATGAAGCTGCGAAAGTTCTTCGATTATTATATATTCAAGATTTACGAACATTACAAACAAAAATAAATGAAACTATTGTAAATGTTCAATCACTTGTTGCTGATCCACGTACGGATAGTAAATTAGGAAAAATTGGATATTAAAACTTCTAGTTAATAATTCTTTTTTCTTGTTATTGTTTTTAAAAAGAACATTTTTGTTATTATTAATTCAGCATTTTATGTCTAACATGACAATTCGGTTGGTCTTTGCTGGTATGACGTTTTTTTGTTTGCATTTTAGATATACACATTTTTATTCAAAACAATTCACAATATATTTAGTTTTATCCAATTAGGTATTGTTAAGATTTCTTTATCTAAATTTTTTTCATACATAAAACATCTCCTGTCATTTTAAGAAAGTCTTTAATCTTCGTTCTTTGTGAATACCTGCATATTTTTTCGTACTAATGATTAAGATTACGTATGAAAGAGAAATTATATCTAACTATTCTATTTAGCAATGTAATTTATTGTACATTTATCTGTATTTCGTAAAGACAAAGTGAAGAGTAAAGCAGTGAATAGCAATTGAAGTAGACAGTTATTTAATAAAGTTTATCTTAAGCAAATAGTTGGACAATATGTAACCTATCATAGAAGTCATGTCTGTCAGATATTCTGTTCACTGGTAGATACAGAATGATTGTTTATAAAGTAACCGACGTTAGCAGTATATTATCTATCAGAAAATAAAATAATAATGTTGAAATATTTTCTAAAAGAAGCCGTGTGGTGATTTGTGATTATTATTATTATTTGAAAATGGCGATAAAAAATACATTCGATTATTCTACTGAGCTTTTATTGAAACAAAATCATCTAGTCTGTATTGAATCTATTGAGAACATATAATAAAATGTTTATAACACATACTTACATAAAGATATAATAATGTCCAATGTGCATATTTAAGAGATGTTTAAGTAATGATTTTAGTATACTAATAAAAATTGAAATTCTTTTATAGCTTGACATGTAAATATTTCCAGCAGTGTTCAGATTTCCACGAGAGGGAAATTTCGAAAAATACTAAAATTTTCGGCCACTATTCATTGCCACATAAGGGTTGATACAATGATACGTCAATTAATTACAACACATTTTCCAAAAATTCTATATCGAACCAGCCATACCACCAACTATATATACGAAATAGAGGACAGATGGATAACCCGTGAAGTAACCAAATAAACTTCAATATTTTCTTCTTACTTCGCACTCTATCTGTCTCTCTTATGAATATTATATTATATATTACATATGAGATATTTCCGTATAATTTCTACATTTTCTTCTTACTTCCTACCCCATGGCTATATAATATGTGCATAGTATTATATATTATGTGTCAGAAATTATCTAGAAGTTTCTGAGGGTTTTTTAGTAAGTGGACGTGCTTTTCGTATTAGTTGTGGTTAATGGGAAGTTGGAAAATTTGTAATTTGCTAAGATGTTCTCTGAGTGGAAACCTAAACATACCTGAATATTTCTAAGTCATCGTTATTAATATCATTTTTAGATATTTTTAATTATGGCAAAACCAATGAATTATGATAAATGGAAAAAAATCGAAGTATCCGATGATGAAGATGATGTACATCCAAATATTGATACACCAAGTTTATTTCGTTGGCGTCATCAAGCTCGTATTGAACGTCGTGAACAACGATTTGAAGATCAAAAAGAACATGAAAAGAAATTCAAAGAGTATAGAAACTAAAGATTTTTTTTCTTTGTATCAAAATTCAATGATTTGTTTTTTAGAATTATGGAACGTCGAAAAAAATTTGATGAAAAATATAAAAAATTAGAAAATGTAAATATACAAAATCTTGATTAAATTATTCGTTAAAAATCGATTGTTTTTTCTCCTTTATTTTAGGAAAAAGGTGATTTATCAACTCTTAAATCAGAAAAAGAAGCATTAGAAAAAGAAGAAGGTCAATGGAAAGAAAAAGATGCTGATATGAAAAAACAAGAACGTTTACGTCCATTAGATGTTGATGATTTAACTCATGAAGGAACATCTAAAACATCAATTAATAAGAAAGTAACTGAAGAACGACCAACAAATATGACAGAAGAAGAACAAGCTGAATATTATGTTTGTATTATTTTTATAGATAAAACAAATCATTTCTTATCTTTTTTTTGTAGAAAAAATTTATCGAAAAACATAAAGCTGATGTTAAAAAATACGGCATGTTTCGTAATTATGATGATACACAAAAATTTCTTGAAGATCATTTAGAATTAGTTTGTGAAGAAACAGCTAATTATTTAGTTGTTTGGTGTATTGATTTAGAAATGGAAGAAGTAATGAAAGCCTTTATTTTGTTTTATAAAATTCTTGTTTATTTTTTAGAAACATAGTCTTATGGAACATGTTAGTCATCAAACAATGATTATGCAATTTATTCTTGAATTAAGTAAAACTTTGAAAATTGATCCACGTCAATGTGTTCGACCATTTTTTCAAAGGTTAGCTATTTTCTATTTGAAATCTATGAAAAGAAAAATAATGAATTTTAAAATTTAATTTAGAATGAAAACAGCTGATGAACAATATAAACAAGGATTTGTTGATGAACTTAATGCATTTCGAGAACGAGTTCAAACACGTGCTAAACAAAAAGTTGCTGATGCTGTTAAACAATATGAAGAAGTAGATTTTCGAAAGAATAATGAAGAAAAATAAATCATTCTCTTTTTCTTAAATAGGAAGAACGACAAAAACGTTTAGGTCCAGGTGGTTTAGATCCAATTGAAGTTATGGAATCATTACCAAAGGTAAAATTTTCCTTATAAAATCATAGAAAACTATCATAAATATTTATTAATTATTTTAGGAATTACAAGAATGTTTCGAATCACGTGATATTTCTAAATTACAGGAAGTTTTATCAAAATTACCCCGTGAAGAAGCTGCACAACATCTTGATCGTTGTATTAAATCAGGTTTATGGATACCAAATGCTAAAGATGCTGAAGGTGATGATGAAGAAGATGCAAAACATGATGACGAAACAGATGAAACTGTTGGAAGTGAAGATAAAGTTACGCAAGGTGTTGAAAAATTACAAGTTGAAAAATAAGCAATCCGAAACGATTAGACTCTGTATACATTTTTCGCTTCGTTCTTTTTATTTATAATCTAAGATTCTTTTTTTTTTTGCAAAAGTTCAAGTAAATAAACTAGAGATTGTATCCATATATTTGCAAATTTATTTTTTCTCTCTACTAATATCTAAATAGATTTTTACGTATAGGATATGAAATGAAATGATTGTATATTATTTTGATTTGATAATAAAAAAATAATGGCGCCTATGATATCTAAAAAATTTATGATTATAGAAATATTTAATACGAATTTTGGTCAGTTATTATTTTTGTTTTTCTGTGCGCTGCTTAATTATATTTTAATAGACGTAAATTTTGTCGGATATTATATTAATGATTCATCTAGTATGATAGAGAATGTATTGATATTATTTATTCGCCATTTAAAAGGCATTTTTATCTTTGATTGATGGCAACGGATGAAAATATAAATATTGATACTGTTATAGAACAGTTATTAGAAGTTCGTAAATATCCAAAGTTAGAAAAAATCGATTTAAAAGAAAATGATATTCGTTTAATAATAAATAAAGCACGTGATATATTTTTAAGTCAATCAGTTCTTCTTGAACTTGGTAAGATTAGAAAAAGAATTCGAAATTAGATTTTTTTGTTATTTCTAATTCATAGAAGCTCCATTAAAAATCTGTGGTGATATACATGGTCAATTTACTGATTTACTACGTTTGTTTGATGCTAATGGATATCCACCTGATGCAAATTATCTTTTTCTTGGTAAATAAAATTCTATGAATATTTACAAAAAGAACAAAACTATTTAGGCGATTATGTTGATCGAGGAAAAATGTCACTTGAAACAATAATTATGTTATTTTGTTATAAAATAAAATATGCTGAAAATTTCTTTTTATTACGTGGTAATCATGAATGTGCATCAATTAATCGTATATATGGATTTTATGATGAAGTTAAACGACGTTATAATGTTAAATTATGGAAAACATTTACAGATTGTTTTAATTGTTTACCAATTGCAGCAATTATAGATGAGAAAATTTTTTGTTGTCATGGTGGTCTTAGTCCAGATTTACATTCATTTGAACAAATAAGACGTATTGCAAGACCAACTGATGTACCAGATACAGGTTTACTTTGTGATCTTCTTTGGTCTGATCCAGATAAAGATACAACTGAATGGGGTGAAAATGATCGTGGTGTATCATTTACATTTGGTGTTGAAGTTGTAACAAGATTTTTAACAAGACATGATCTTGATCTTATTTGTCGAGGACATCAAGTTGTTTTAAGAAAAAATCCATTCTTTTTTCTTATTTCATACAAAGAGATTATTTTAGGTTGTTGAAGATGGTTATGAATTTTTTGCTAAACGTCAATTAGTAACAATTTTCTCAGCACCGAATTATTGTGGAGAATTTGATAATGCTGGTGGTGTTATGAGTGTCGATGAAAATTTAATGTGTTCATTTCAAATTCTTCGACCTGTAACACAAACAAAAGGACATACGCCATCTTCAAAAGGATCACCATCGACAAAAACATCTTATGTTAAAAAATAATCAGACAATACATCTAACTTTAGTAGTTCCTATTAATATGGTTCTCAGTTTTAACGCGAAATGTGTTTGTAATTCAATACACTAAACATTGCGTTTCATATTAGAGGATCGATGCATTAACAAGTTTATATAATATGTGTTAAAAAATGATTTGCTACAAAAATCACCATGCATGTTAATCTATTTGACTAATCTTTATTATTATAACTGTATTATCAGACTTCATTGTATATATAATATATTCTCTATAATTATATCACATGATACAAGCAATAAAAGATCTTATGTAGGATATGTAAATAGTTCAAGTTGATCTATTAATATTTTGATCAAATATCAAACAGTGTTGTTGTTGTTACAAGCTCTTGTGTAAATAGTACTGTTCATTAACAATTATATACAACTCATTCAACAATGGACGAAAGCGATATATTAATTGATAGAAGTGACTTCTCATTGATAATGTTCTCATGCCCTATGGATATTCTATTAGAACTCCCATGAGTATTATGTACGAAATAGATTTATAATACATGCTCATTCAAATATTCTTGATTGATTTCAATTATTAGAGATTGTCAAGTGCAATAACGTTAGTAAACAATTGCTTTTTTGATCTAAAGTAAAATATCATTGCATTCGCTATTTGGCTAATAAGTCTTTTCTTTTGCGAATTCATCATATCACAAAACTTAGCTCGTATCTACAAGGATATAGCATGTAACTATTATGCATTCAGTTATTTATCGCTATTAACAAATGAATTTCTATTAGAAAAAAATGTCATATTGACCTATTGATGAACTTATTATAAATAATGACTTGTAAATATAATGTCAATACTATATATTCATTATCAAATTAGTTCTGTATATACCGGTTCATCGTATATTTATCATAGACCACTGAATTCAATAATTTATTTAAAATGAACATATATAATTTTATTCATGCACAAATTTCAAATATTGATTTTTGATAATATATACATTGCATTAACAAATTTGATAAATCATTATTATTATATTAAGATAAAATATGTCTAGATAGTTTTATTTTTAATAATCATAAAAATATCTATTCATAATAGTGTAAAAGATCCTTCACATCTCTCCGTTGGAACAGCAACATCACTTTCATCATACCACCAAAAACTAATATTAACAGTTTGTTTTATTTTATCAGGTGTAGATAAAGCAGTTGAATATAAATGTATTGAACCTGTATATGCTACCGATGGTGAGTAATATGCTAGTGGTGTTATCAAGAGATTTGCTGAAGATGGAATTGTCCATCCAGTAAAGTTCATTTCAAAATCACCATTATCTATTAGTTCACCATTGCCCTGTGTCATACTAACATCATTAATATGCCAAACAATAATTTGTTCTATAAGTTTAAATTCAATAGATAATTGAGTTGATATTACTTGATAACAACAACTAAAATACCGATAGGATGGTGATGATTGTGTACAAACGCCTGTATTATTCCAAAAAACCAATGGTGTAGAGCATATAGTAGAACTAATTGTACATACAGAATTTTGAGTCGTTGTTGTAGCTATGAAAAACAATAGATACATAATCGTTATTAATTCATTTAAAATACCTACTTGAAAATAAAGTAATTGTTTCTATAAAAAAATCAACAAAAATAAATAAATATTAAAATTATTTCAAACTTTTACCAGTATTTGTTGAATTGAAATATTTTTACTTATTTTTCGACCGGATAACTACATATATAAGTGCACCAAGAATACTAGCAATGATTAAAAAATACATGAGACCACATAATTCAAGTTTACAAAGACATCGTTTTGATAGTTTTCTCTTCTTATTCTTTGTTTCATGATGATTTCTATAAATTATATTAACAAAACCAATATAATTTGGAAAGAACTAATTTTTTTATATACTTTTTATTAAAATCAATTACAAAATCATCATTTAATAAATGTCGAGTATCGATAGGAGTTATTCGATGAACACAATCAAATCACGATGGATGAATATTAGATATATCAAAGTATATAGTTGAATCATTTGTATTTAAATTAGTAGAAACAAAATTTCGAATTGAATCGGACAAATTTGATCGATTATTTTCATTGTCTGCACGTACAAAAATTTGATTATTTTGTTCTTCATTATGAATTTTATTTTGTTTTGAATTGATAATCGTCTTAGTAGCATTCGATAATAAGCCTGAACGCTGTACAGACACATTTGAAAAACGAGTACTGTTTAAACTTGATTGACGTGTAATATTAGATTGAGATTTGTTTCAATTTTGTTGTTTTGACTGAAGATGTTCGTTATTATGTTGTTTTTTTCAAAACGTCGTTGTTGGGAAGACTTTTTACGCGAAACATGAACCACAACAATTCGAGAAGGATTTCGACTCATATTCATATTACAATTCGTTGTACTCAAATTCAATTAAAAACACATCTAATATATAAATGTTTGTTGAAGAACAGATTTTGATTAAAAAATATCGAATCACACAAAAAAAAAATGAATTTATTTCGGGATTCAAATGTATAATACATATGCATTTTAATCTAGATTTTCTTTTTTTTTAATTTATTGCAAAATAAGATAGAACTTGAAAAAAATCAGATCAATATAAATTTGAATATTTTATAATAATCATAAAAATTCTATGACATATGTTCAATATCAAAAGATTCCTTTTGAATGTAATTTAGTAATTAGAATATTTCAATATTGAATTTTGCATAAACTATTGATATTTATAATAGATCGATTTATAATTAAACAAATGAGTTATACTTGTGACTGTGTAGATAATATTCACAATAGATACTATTGATTCTCTAGTGAGAACAGATGAAAGAAACATGTCGATAGATAGGCATTTATTTCCTTATCACAATTTATTAAACTAACAAACAAATAAATATATATATATATAAATATATATTTGACGAATTGACAGATTTATTATATTGAATTTTTTCTCATCTACTTATTGTCTTCTTTTAATAGATAAATTGCTTTGTAATAAAAAAAATTTCTATAGAAAAACAATAAGCACCAATGTGACAATTACTGTTCAAGAAACAAACAATTATAAATCCCTTTTTACACATAATGCTTGTCTGAGACGTGCTTAACAATAGTAATAATATAATGACAAGTACATAAAACATGAATAAGGAAAATAGTTAGAGTAATAATATGAGATTGTTTGCTCATCATCATCATTATTATCATCTGAACATTGCCTTACTAAAGTTCACCGGTCTCGTCAATGTAAAAAATGTTAACATTAAAAAAAAATGAATAAGATTGTTCTTTTATTATCTATTATTTTAACATTTTTTCTATTCGGACATTGGTCATGGATTACGCCATTTATTCGGCCCCAAAACATACAACATGTACGAATCCTGTAGCTCATTAAAGCAAACTACTAAACACGATAGAGAGAGAGAGAGCAAAAATCTCTCATTTTCTCTTCTCTTCTCGTTCATGAAAAAAAAAAGAAAGCAAGTAATAATAAGTCTAACAATAGGAAGAAGAACGGAAAAAGATTTTTTTCTCTTTCGATTAGAATATAGAAAGAGAGAATGAGATGTATATCTCTCTCTCCCTCTCTTTCTTTCTCGTCCAATGTTGAACACACATACATATAAACACACACATAGAAAAATTATCATTCTTCATCGTCACTTGTCTCAAAAGAGATACAGTTAAACTGATGGATCTCGAACTTCGTTGTCCATCATGTAAAGAATATTATCGTTCACCTGTCTATCTACCATGTACACACTCTTTATGTTATACATGTGCATTGACTTCAATTCAAACAACAAATGAACATCATCAAAATCAATCTACACTTGATATATCATCGACATCGTTTGCATCCGATCTTGATAAACTTTCATTAACGAGTGACAATGACTCAGGTGTTATTTTAAATCGACATTCACCATCATCATCTAGCTCATCTTCATCGTCATCATCATCGTCAATATCATCTTCCAGTCGTCCATCAAGTCTACTTTTACCACCTGCTCTACCTGAAATATCGACATCATCCTATTTATCACCAACATCTAATCGTCAACCAACACATAATAAAACATATTCGACTTGTTTACAATGTCCGGTATGTTCAAAAATAATTTTTATGGACATGACAGGCGTCAAAAGTTTACCAAAAAATCATCTTCTCACTGATATTGTCAATCGTTATCATGGAGAGAAATCTTCTGAACAGCAACAAGCACCTAAGTGTCAGTTATGTCGACCATCAGAAGAACGAATAATCACACGTATCTGTGAACAATGCCGAATTGGATACTGTGATCAATGTCGTGAACAATATCATCCAATGCGTGGTCCATATTCCAAACATAATTTTCTTGATGCATTACAGCAATTTTCTGATACGTCAAATGAAAAAATATATTGTTCAGAACATTTAAATCGTATAGCAACATCATATTGTCTTCATTGTCGATTAGAATGTTGTCAACAATGTTCAATACATACGAATCATGATATTGTACCCATTCAACAAGCAGCTAAACTTTTTAAGGTAGAGTATTTAGGATACAGTGATTGCATGTTGTTAAAAAAGGAAGTCGTCGTCCTTTCTTCTTATTTTTTTTAATCAACTCCCGTCTGTCTGTCCAGTTTAGTTCAGTAGTCCAGACAAAGCGCTTATCACGCACATACATACGGTCAAGATCACATCCGTCTTCTTCCTTTCTCGAGAGAATGGTCAGTGAGCCCTAAGGCGTCCTTCTCGCGTTTTTTGTCTTTACTTTTTTTTTTACTATGAACAGAAAAAAGAGAGAAGAATCAAATTCGAACGATGGACATATTTCCGATCCTCATGAGACAAAGACAAAAAACAGGAAATGTGCTGACTAATGTCTTTTGCTCTCTCTCTCTCCTTCTCTAATATTTCAAATAGTTGAACATGTTGCCTCTTTTTCCCATTCGCATATACATACTTGAGCGCATCTGTTGTCATTCGAGCGAGAAGACAAAAAAATTTGTTTCAACTGATGACCCTGAGAAAGACGAAGGCGTCGGTCTGAGTGCTCACGCGTGCGTATGTCATAAAGATCAATCGTATATCTCATCAATTCAATTTTCAATCATAACAATTCAACTTATTGTTTTTATATTTCTCAAATGATGATAAATGATAATAAACACATACTGTTTTCGAAAGTTAACGAAGCAAAAATATTTCTCCTTCAAACTTCCTCTGGGAGTCACTGTTATAAATAGCCTTTGAACTTTTCACCTGTTACATAACTATAGGCATCATAAAAGACATTTGATTCAGTTCTCTTTTTTTTTCTTTTCTCTTGAGTCTGTGCATGTGAGTATTCATCTAATCTGACCATTGTCCCTTGCCTGTCATCATCTCTTTTCACATTTTTTCATTATTAATGAGAAAAGAAAACGGAAAAAAAATCTACTTCTCTTTTTTCAATTAACGATGCAAACAATGAGAAAAAGACCGGATGACCATTCTTGCGCGCGCGCGAGCGGCAAGATTCTTTTTGATGACCGTATAGGCATTGTATGCTATCTAAACTATTATTGTTCTAGCATGAGGTGAAGTGTCATTCTTTTTTTTTTCCTCGTTTATTATAATATAAACTTCTAGATTCTTGTTCCGCTTGTCTTCCCAAGAAACATTACTATGTAAATTGGAAAAAGTACGATGATGCAATCAACGGAAATGTATGTGTATGCATAAATCACTTTCTTTCTTCTCGGATTTTTAATGCGATTCAGTGTCACCTCTTTCTCCTCCTCCTCCTTCTCTTCTTTTTCTTCTTTTCTTTTATATGATCAATCATTTTTTAATATTATTATCAAAAAAAACTAAAGAAAACTTTAACATTTATCCTTGTGTCTAGACTCAATTGTCATCACAACTTCAATCGTTATCGGAAAAAGCCAAATATGGTGCAGAATTTCTAGCCAAATTGAAGCAATATCCAGACTATATCAAGGTAATTTACTTCTGATAAGATCCTATCATTCTTCTTCTTCCACTGGAAGAAAAGAGAGAGAGAGTGCGAGTTGAAGACAGCTAGCAGGAGGTTAACATAGATATAGATAATCAATGCAGATGGTCAATCGTCTAGTCATTTACTAGTGAAGGTCATGTTCAGTTCATACATTTATTTTATCATTCAATTAAATAAATTATTCCAACTGAGAAACATATATATATTCATATGTTAAAGTCATTCGATTTTGTTCTTATTTTAATAGTATAATCAAAATAAATCTGATCTTTTTTATTTATTTTTTAAGTATAAGAATGTCTAATGAGTATTAGTTCTATGCTTCATTAGATCCATCATTCAAACAAAATAACCTTGTTAGAAGAATCTCTTCTTTTCCTTCTTCTTCTCTTCTCTTGTCTTTGTTTCTCAAGAGATGTGCATGTCGGATGTGAATACATGCAAGGATAAAGAAGCTAAAGCAACGTAACAACATCATCATATTTCTCTTGATAAAATCATCTCGATGATGAAAACGATTGAATGATCGAATCCATCAAACAATAAAAAGAAATACAAATCTCATGAGAATATTTTATAAAAAATTGTTTCTTGTCTTTCTTATAGAAAAATGGTGAAATATTCGAAAAAAATCTAATAAAAGATATTGATAATCTTATCATAACACTTGAAAATAAGAAACAAGAATTATTAACTTATATACATGAAGAAATTGAAAGAAAAATTTCTCTAATACATCAACAATATTCAACATATAATACACATATACAACGAACAACAGGTTTTCTACAATTTTCAATTGAAGCTTTAAAAGATTCAGATCCATATGCATATCTTCAAGTTTGTTTATTTTATATTATCTTTTTTTTTGTCTCATATTCTATATAATTCTATTAGGTATGTCATGGTTTAAATAGTAAATGTTCATCTATATATGGAAATTTTTCCGATGAATATGAATGTAAAGCACATACATCCTATGAATTTGATTTTAATTATAATACGGAATGTCTTTATCGAGAAATTCATCGTTTACAATTTCAACAAATAAAACGTAAGACATTGTATATTTATTTATTCATATATATATATATATAAACAAATCATCCAGAATAATATTGTCTAATCGTTTTATATTTGATAAAAGAATTTTCTCTGATTGAGTTTCTGTTCTATACAAAGAAACAATTAGCATGTTCGATCTATATTTATTCAGACATAACGTTCATCTAAAATTACACCAGACATCTTTTGCGGTACATTAATGTTGGTATAACTTCTTTTCTCTTTTTTTATTTGATCGAGAAAGAAACTTTTGCTTTTTTTTTTTTTGATAAACGAGACAATGTATAAACAAAGAAAAAATACATCTGTCAATAATCTCATCCTTGTTTAATTTATATTACATAAATATATATAACTTCCAGATTTTGTTTATTTTAAAACTAAAACATTTTTTGCTCTTATTATCGACAGTTTTTTTGAATGAATGATTAAATCAAAATATGTTATATATTAATATGAATTTAAATCGAGATTTCCGGTTGATAATCTTTTGATTGTCTCTCTCTCTTTCTTATTCTTACATATGTCTTACATTATCAATATGATCAGTATTGACCTTGATTTCGTCTTCGTCTTTTGTTTTTTGAATAAATACAAAAAAGATTTTATCATTTGACGGAAATACTTCTTCTTTTTTATATGATAGGAAGAGATTTCTCAGGGTAACAGCGCCATGTACGGATTTCCTTTCATGCCTCTCAAGGTTTTTTATCCCCCCTAGTAAGAGAATAAGAGAGTTCGATTAACAGTAAATGAACAATGCTTTTTCTATGTGTCTTAATCGAATGAACTAATATTGACGTTGTATTACGTAAATTGATGTTCTTCATTTGCGCCTTTTTTTTAGCACCCTTATCTCCTCGTTTTATTGCCGAACAATGTCTATGTCATGACGAACAATCGGGTACAATTTCTGGAACACTTGCATGGTCCATGCGTGATGTTGGAGCTATACAAGGTTTTATACTTGAATTAGATGATGGCACATTTGCTTCAGATTTTCGGGTAAAGAAGTTAAAACAACAATTTGAAAAGAATAATGTTTTTATATACATATATATTTATAGGAAGTATATGATGGTACTGAAACAATGTGTGCAGTTGATGGACTTCTTCCATCAAATGTCTATACAGCGCGAGTAAAAGCATACAATCAAGCAGGTGAAAGTGCCTATAGCGAATGTATAACGCTTCATTCATCTTCTGGTATATAAACAAATCAAACAGGATATTCATATTTTCTTTCTTATGGTGTTTCTTTTTTGTTTTCCTATAGTTTATTGGTTTACATTTAATCCCCGAACAGCACATCCGGATATACAATTTTTATCAAATTCATCAACATTATCAAATGACAATCATTATAGTATAGATACAATAACATGTCTAAGTTCACAAGAACGTGTTGCATTTGGTTCACGAGGTTTTCGTAAAGGTGTACATTATTGGGAAATAACTATACAACGTTATGATGATAAACCTGATCCAGCATTTGGTGTTGCTCGTTTTGATGCACTCAAAGAACATATGCTAGGTAAAGATTCCAAATCATGGTGTATGTACATTGATTCTCAACGTTCATGGTTTATGCATAATGGACAACATACAAATCGTATCAATGGTGGTATAACTGTTGGTTCAGTAATTGGTATTCTATTAGATTTAACTAATGGTACATTAAGTTATTATATTAATGATGAACCACATGGGCCAATAGCATTTACAAATTTAACACAAGGTGGTGTTTATTATCCAGCTGTTAGTTTAAATAAAAATGTTCAATTAACTCTTGTCTCAGGTCTTAATCCTCCAACACAAACAAATCAAGAATTGTAATTAGATGGATATTTGATAGCTTCATTTTCTTTTCTGTTGTGTGTTGTCTTGTGTCTGTTTTATGTATAAGTAAACTTGTATACAGATGAAGAAAAAAAAACGAAAAAGAAATAAATTAAATTATTATTAATTCAAAATTGAATTGCATTTGTATTGTTTCTATTATTATAAAATCAAAATGACTTTCATCTTTTTGTTAAAATTTCATCATTGATCATAAAGAATAGAAATGCCTTTTCTAATGGGGATAGTCGAAACATATATATGCATATTTATTTTTTTGTTTGAACTCATTTTATGACATTGGTTATTTTTATGAGCTATTCAGTAGTGTTTGTTCATTCTTTTCTTTCTTTCTTTACTTTCATTGATTGATAACAATAGTTGTTATTCATTTTTGACCTGTACAAACACATATTTCTGTCACGCATTCGACACGGATGAAAAAAGAAACGACTTTAAATCGATCGGGTCAGCCATTAAACGCCTCGTTTGAAGACAAGAAATGATGATGTATGACTATTCGATTACGCCCTACGGTCAGTCTACTTGTCGGCAACATTTAAATATAAAATAAGAAGTCCAAGAATACAAACTAAACTAAAAGTACCTACTCAATATAAAGTAATATGAATGTGATAACAGCATAAGAATGTAACATCAAATATTGACATGTAACTTATCGATTTGTCGTCATCAACGATAGTTCCTAATGTGTAACAGCTCTCTTACGATGGGAATCAGCTGCATCACTTAATAATGTCTCATATGTTATCGATTGTATAAATAAGATAAAGATACAATGTGCCCAAAAAAAAGAATAAGAATTAATTCCTATCATGACATGTCAATTTTCATTAATTATCATGATTGAATATTTTTTTTTTATCTTTGATTATTTTCTCAGAGAAGAAGAAGAATCAAAAAAAAAAGAAACCTTGACTCTTTATTTATTGAAGTTCATCAGGATGTGTCCGGAACTAAAAAGAGCAATCGAATTGCTGTCAACGTCAAGTTCAGTTCAATTTGTCATCCAATGAAATAAATGAGTTTCTCTTCTTTTTTTTTAATCACTAGTCTGTAAACTGATCATTATATTCATTCTTTTCAATCAATATCTAAATGTGTTCATCTTTAACTATATATATATATTCTAATCATAGAATAGGTTGGGTATTGATAATGATTGACAACGCGTGACCTTAACCGTACACACGCTTAACGTCAAAAACAATAGTCTTGCTATAAATGGCTGTTTCTATTTCCCAAGAGTACAATAAATAAATGGTCATAGTAACACGTGTGCTAACAATAGCAATAAGAGTAAATGATGACAGATCCACTCCAATCAACTACTACCGACTACTCTAGTGACATATTGATCAAGGACAAAGAGAGAAATTGAAGTGTCTGTCAAGTAAATGGGTGGTACTTATCATTAGTTTTTTGTTCTATTAATAATGAAAAGATAGAAGAATCATAATGTAAAGTAACAAGAAGAAAAAAAAATTTATAAAGATTTAAATTTGAACAAAACTAAAATTGATATTTTTGTTAGTAAAGTAACGAATGGAATAAAAAGTAGCTTAAAGGCGAAATCGATCATATATGCACTTATATATTTACTCTTGAATTTTCAATGATTTTTTTTCCTTCTTATTTTTAATGTATAGAAGGCAAAGAAGTAGTAGTAGTAGTAGTTATAATAAAAAACAAAAGAATTAACATTTGATGACTTCTGAAAACTCAATAACAATACGTACACGTCATCAATCAATACCACCAATTTATTTATCATATTCTAATGAATGTGATTTTATTGAAAGATATTTTATTATTAAAATCTATGAAAAATTAGTTAAAAATGGTTTAGGTGAAGGTGTTATTTGGTTTGATCATCATCAAGGTATACATCCAGATAAAGTAAACATAGAAATTAGATTTCTATCATTATCTATCATCTTAATATTTAGACGGCTAGTTGGTTTGCTGATCGACTTGAGGCAATTGATTTATCACTTGGTAGTCTTTTGATATTATCTAGTAGATCTCAATGTCAACGTCTGATGTTAATTGAATCTAAAGCAATTGTTGATAGAAAAATTTTATCAAAAACATCATCTATTTACGGTTTATTTGTTATCTTATTAGATCAATGTCAGAATTATTCATATTTACATTCACAAGCTGATTTTTTTTATACATTCAATAAAATTGATTCCATATTAAATATTGATGAACATATATCATTTATTATTGATGATTTATTATTAAAATTATTACCCTATAAAAAATTATCATTTTATAAACAAAAATTAACAATCAATGATGAACAATTTAAACCTCTATGTTGTTGGACATTAGATGATATTCAAACATTTTTAATTCGTCTCGGAGTTGATCAAACAAGTCGAGATTTATTTTATGAGAAACAAATTGATGGTTATTTATTATTATCATGTACTGAAAATGAATTAAGAGATTATTTTCTAATAAATGATGATAAAATTCGACGAGATTTAATTGAAAATGTTATACGTATGTTAACGACAATTCGGTTTTTTCTCGAAATACGAAAATAATTTTTTTCTGTAGAAACAATTCATCATGAACGACAAAATTCATTACAATGGCATTATGGAGCAAAAAAATTGAAAGGAAATGCTAATTATATTTATATAATTCATCATCCGAAAGATTCTTCAATCGCAATTCGAATTTCAAATTTTTTTAAAGAAAAAAATTTTCGAGTAAATTATTTTTTTTCTAAAACCAAAAATCTTTAATTTTTCTTTTTAGGTACTTACACATAATTCACGATATGGTAAAACTAAACAAGAATTTTTATCTTTAAATGGACCTATTATTGCTCGAACAAAATATGTTATTTATCTATTAACAAAAAAATCATCAAATTCAAATTTTAAATTTCTTGAATTAACTATTGCTGAATGGTTTGAAAAATCAATTATTACAGTTTATGTAGATAATATTTGGACGAATATCCGATCTTCAATACGTGCTATACTTGGTAAATAATTCTTTTTCTTTTGAAATTAATCAATTTTGTCTATTAATAATTAGCTAATTACCCATTAGTTGATTTTAATCATCAATCATTCAATGAAAGTCTCACTATTTTATATACTTATCTTTGTTCAAAAATCGTTTCAACACAAATATCAGTTGTATATAATGAAAAAATTGAACAAACTATTCAACCGTTAATTATTAATAGTAATTTAAAATCAAAAGTATATACATCCGTAAATGAAAGTAAAATTACGAATAGAAAAATAGCGTGAAATAATGCATAAATTTTAATTTAGATAATTCGCATTTTATTTATTTAAGTTATTCGAAAATTAATGAAAAATGGAATGTTACTCATGCTATTCAACGTCTTGTATATGTACTTGAAACAAATCATTATCATACTGGAATCCAAATTAAAAAAAACAATAATAATAATAATAATACTAGTCGAGAAAAGAATTCGTAAGTTAATAAAGAAAACTTTTGAATAATTATATTTTCTTATTATCTCATCAATAAAAATATTGCCTAAATTTTCTATCGATATAATCTTTGTACAATTGATTACATATGAATGTTTATTTTTTCGAAGTCTTATAGTAACGGTATTGAATAAGATTGGAAGCAAAAAAATGTTTCTATATGGTCAATAGTATCAAATATACGTAACAAAATGACATGTTCGATATATTTAGAAAATATTTAAAAAGAAAAACTTTTCTAGTAATCGATTTTAGAACGAAATATGAATGTGTATTTAAGTGCTGAAATTAATTTCAGATTGAAAAGTCTATCTTATTGAAAAACTTCTATTTAGTATCCCGCCGTACAGAATAAATATCAAACCATCTCTACTTATAATAAATTGATTTACTAATTTTAGTCATTATTTACCGTTAATTCAAACGAAATCATCTACTAGTAATTCTTATTTATATGGGCTTACTCAATCACTAGCATCATCAAGTAATTTTTATCGTGAAATAGGTCCAGGAGATATTCGTCATTGTTGTATGATGATTGTTTGTCTAACACCGAACTATTTTCATAATGAACATTGTTTAAATGAATTACGATTATGTGAAATCTATCAAAAACCAATTGTTATTTGTTTATTAAGACATTTGAATACGTATAATTCAAATAATATATCGAATGGAAATATGAATCTTGATGAACAAGTAAAAATGTTTATTCCATCAAGATTTGCAATGACAACTTTACAATTTTTACGTAAAAGTATTCGTTCATTATGTATTGATTTATCGACAGATGAATTATTTTCAAGAAATATAAGAATTTTATTAAAAAAATTAGAAAAAACTACTGAAAAATATCAAACGTCGATGGAAGATTCAACTAACTCTTTAGATACAAATCTATTTGGTCAAACAAGTGAAATTTTTTGAAGCAAAACTGTTATTTTTTTTTTCTTCAATATTTTCGATCGATAGATGTCATGATAAATCGTATTAAACTTATTTTGTAAAAAGACTAGAGCTTAGTTTTCTTTTTCAATAAAATAAATCTATTTTCTGAATATGCATTGTTTTATAAAAAAATGTTTTTTATTAAAATAAAAATTATAAAATGAAATCCTTATGGCTACAACTAGCCAATCACATTAATACAAAATGCCACGCTTTAATCAACGTATTCTGCTACGGTACAACGCTCGTTTATTAATGTATGCTATATACTTTTTTCTTTTTTAATTGAGTTGAATTTTGTGTAAATTTTTTTCTACAGATGATGGATCAATCAACTACTGAACATCCTCAAAGTTTACCGCCTCCAATGTCTCATTACATTCCTCCTTCAGTACCTCCAAGTTCTACAGTAAATCCTCAACAACATCAACAGCAACAATACCAACAACCATTTTTACCACCCATGCCTACAGTAAATCCACAACAACAACAACAACAACATTTGCAACAACAATATCATCAGCCTCAGCAGCAGCAACAACAACAACATCCACATCAACAGCAACCACCATTTCTACCACCCAATCCAGAACAATCTTCACATGTTCAAAATCCTCCAGTTGCAGCTGCTAATTCATCTGAAACTGACCTATCAGCAGCTAATTTTAATGCTCAACAACAACAAATGGCAGCTATGATGCAAATGCAACAACAATGGGCTGCTGGTGGTGCTTATGCTGCACCTTATATGATGGGATATCCACCAAATATGATGATGATGCAACCACAACCTGGTATGGATCGACCAGGATCACGTCAATCATCACGTCCACCATCTCGACAAAGTGTGACAGGACCAGTATCATCATCAAGATCTATGGTCAATGGACAAACAGGTGGTCAAACACAAGCAGCATTGCCACAAGGAATGTTACCACAACAAGGATATCCTGGTTATATGCCACCAGGAATGTATAATCCATGGTTTGATGCATATTGGCAATCAATGTATGCTAATTATCAAAATCCATATAGTTTTGGATATAATGATGAAATGATGAAATATTGGAAACAAATGTCACAAGGAGAAGATGATAGGTATAGTCATCATTCAGCTGCTTATTCTCATTCAAAACAATCTCAGCATAGTTCATCTATGCATACATGGGGTTCAATTGATTCGCTAAATGATCCATTTTAGTAATTGATTTTTATAAATTTATTTTTCTAAAATATATATTTATCTTTTTAAATTTTTAGTCAAAATCATAATGCTTTAGCTAATGGAAATTATCCACCTAGACAACAACAACAACCTAATTTAAATCAATCTAAGCGACCAACTAAACCAAATACAGATCCAAATACACTTTTAACAACAGCATCTATTCCAAATCAACAAATACCAACAGTTGAATCTAAAACAAAAACAGTTAAAGCACAAGAAAATGCTGATGAGGAGGAAGAAGAAGAAGACGATGATGACGACGATGATGAAGATGATGATGAGGATGACGATGATGATGAAGACGATTCTGATGATGGAAGTAGTGATCGTTTTAGTATAAAATCCGATTTAGCACAAGTTAATGATGAATCATCTAAAGCAAGACGAACTCCACTTCTTTACATTCGACCACATTTACGTGCTAAATTTGTATTTGATCAACTTATACAAGTTTTACCACAATCACCCAGTGATACAAATCAACCGGCAACTGTTGAAATTTTATCTGCAAATGTAAAAATTGTTTTTCTTATCATTAAATAGAATCAAACGTCTATTTATTTAGAGTTTACATACAATGGCACCTTCATTAGTTGAAGAACGACAATTAATGTCCGATTTTATTGGTCCATTAACTGCGTAAGATAAATTCTACGATAAAAATAAAAACGTTTTCTTTTTCTTTTTTTGTATATATTTTAGTTCAACAGCGAAATCTAATGTTATTCGTTATTGTGAACGTCAATCCCAATTAGCTAATAAAGCAATTCATATTATTGATCGAGATGCTTTAGCAATTCTTTGGCAATATATGGCTTTACTCGTCAAAACTAATGGAGTATGTTAAATTTAAATGAAAAGAAATTCTTAGTTTTGTTGTTTTTTCTTCTTCTTCTTAGGTTATTGACGTTCGTGTTGACATTCCAAAAATCCTTTGGTCATCAAGTAATACACCAGTTATAGAAGAAACATCTTCAAATAGTAATAATACATCATTATCACCAACAGCATCAGAAAATTCATTAAGAGAATTCCTTGCACTTGGTGAAATTGATACAAGTATTAAATTTGCTTGCGAAAATCAATTATACACTCATGCACTTATTATCTCTTATTTAACTGATAAACAATTATTTGAAAAAACAATACATAAGTAAATTAAAATAGTAACAAAGAAAATGAATTTCATTTTTCCTTTTTTTTTAAAGTATTATATCAAATCTTGATAATGGTGATGTATTGAAAACATTTTATGAATTAGGAGCTGGTTCAATACCATCAGTAATATCTGTGAGTCTTGATTTATTTGAATTTATTCATAAACAAACTATATATATATTTTATAGAATGTAACAAAAGCACATTATGGTGATTGGAAACGTCATTTAGCAGTTATATTAGCAAATCGTACAGATGCAAATGCACAATTTGTTGATCTTTGTGTTAAAACAATGGGTGATACACTTAGTAAGATAAACTTCATTTTGTTTCTCTCTTAAAAATTACTTCTTTTTTAAAGTAACATCTGGTCGAATATATGCCGGTCATTTTTGTTATTTAATTGCTAATGTTCCATTTGGTTCCTATCGTAATAATGCCGATAAAATAGCTGTTATTGGTAGTATTCATGCCGGGTAAGAAATTCATTCTTTAATTAAATTCAAAAATACAAAATTTTATTTTTAGTCAATCAAATCTTTCATTTGCAACAATTCCAAATTTACAATTAACTGAAGTTTATGAATATGCAGTGCGAAGAACTTTAACAACATTTACTGTAAATAATTTTATTCAAATTATTCACAAAATATAAAGATAATTTTCATTATTTTTAGCCATTAAAAATTTATTATACATCAAAATTAGTACTTCATGGTTTAAAACGAGAAGCATTAGCTTATTGTGAAGAAATAGGACTTACACTTATTCGACAAGGAAATACTTCATTTATTCAATTGGTTGATTTACAATTATTTATACTTGTATTTATTCGATCTTTTTATTTTGTTCTATTAAAAATGAATTTATTTTATATAGATAGCAGAAAAATCTCGAGCATTTAGTCGAAATTTTCAACTTGATCCAACATCATATAAAGAACCAACATGGTTAATTGAATTAAGACGTATTATACAAAATTTACTTGTAAGTTTCACGTTTGATTTTAAAGAAAAATAATTATTATTATGATTTTTCAAGGATAATACATTTTTAAATAAAACAATGAGAGATGATTTATTAAATTCATCTGCACAAGTTAATCGAGAACAGCATAATGTACAACAACAACAACAACCAATAAATCCTCCTACTTGTAAGTTTAATTTAAATAAAAAGTAAGAATAATTGATTTCGTCTTTCTTTGAAATATAGATACAGACAAACAAACATCTAATATAAATCGACAACCTGAACAAATACCAACTACTGCGCCTGTATCTTATCAACCTCCAATAACAAATACAAATACAAATGTTAGTTTATGCTAAATTATTTTTTGGTATATTCGGTTTTTACAATCTTTAGATTCCAAATGGTTATGATCCATCCAATCAAGTTCCAACTGAACAATTACCCTATCAACATCCAACTGCCAATAATTATCAAAATACATTACAAGGTAATATTTATTGTTCATCTTGTTATTTTAGTATTGAAATTATTCTTAACTTCATGTTAATACAGATATATTAAATATCTTAGAATTTCTCTAATTGAATAGTTCAAAAGTCAGTCAGATGTACTATTTAAGTTCACTTAATAAAATTAAAATTTTTACATAGATCTATCTATACAAAAAAACATCTCGTTAAAAATCTGTTTTTTTTCTCAAGTTAATTAATAATTAAATAAATAACTTGAAATAACCTTATTTTATAAAGTATAATGAATCTATTATATTCTAGTTGATACAAATGTGCATTATTCAACACAACCTCAGTCAAATTATTATCCACAGCAATACTATCCATCCGAGCCTCAACAACCAGAAATAAACAATTATTCACAGCAACGGCAACCACCACAACAACATCCGACTCAATCAGATCATTTAAATATACCATCTCAAGTTCCTTCAACAAATCAACAATTTTATCAATCACCTGTTGAGCATACACAATACATTCAACCAGGTTTAACAAGTACACCTAATCCTCATCCATCTCAACAACCACCACAACAACAACAATGGTATCCATCCGGACAAGTTGAATCTCGAGATCGTTTACCATCGAATGAGGTATGTACAATCTAATATCATCGATAAAAAAAAAGTAGAAAATATAATATTAAAAATAATCCAGTAGAAAAATAGTCTTCTATTCTAATCCTATAATAAATCTCCTAGCAACAACAGCAACAAAAAATGGAATCGATGAGGCGTCGTTCATCGATCATAACATTTAATGATTCTAATAATATGCCGCCAACAAATTGGCAGCAAATGTCTACAGCAGATAATAGAAAAGCATCTTCAACATCAACACATTCAAATATGAGTAATAAAAGTACAAGTAATACTGTTGATACGACTAATTTTGGTTATCAACCACCACAATTAATGTCTTATACCACGGTATAAATATATTTTTGTATCAAATGTTCTTTATGCGTATCTCACTTATGCTTTCTTTTTGTCTTTGCATCTTATCCTAACAAAACACAATTAATATAATTTTAATTATTACTATATAATTTAAAATATATATACATATATATCTATAAATCTTCTATTTAATTCATTTAGAATCAACCTCCATCAATAACTGAGGAATCTCCACAACAACAACCACAAACAAATGGACAAACTAAAAAGAAACATGCTATTTTTGATGATAGTGATGATGTTTTTCCTGTAAGTTCCTTTTTTTTAATATTTCATTATAAAAGTTGATTACTTTGATTTGAATTATATTTAGAATAATGCACAAAAATCATCGGATTCAAAAGCAAATGCAACTGCAGCAAGTCAAGCAGCTGCAGCCACACAAAAAAGTGGTTTATTCGGAACTATTATGAATCGTATTGGTTTGAAACGACCAACACAAGCACATTTACCTGATGATAAAAATAAAACAGTAAGGAAAATAATTATTATATAAAATAGAAATTTTCTTTATTTAACATTTTTTTTAGTTTAAATTTGATGAAAAAACAGGTACATGGATTGATACATCAAAACCAGCTGGCGAACAAACATCTTCACAAATTGCACCACCTCCGATGATACCATCAAAAACACCGTCAACATCATTTGTAACTAATCCACAACAACCAACAGCATCATCATTTAATCCTTCAATGCCACCAGGTCCTCCTCAACCATCATCAACACTTAATTCTACAATACCATCTGCATCTTCTCAACCTCGAACATTAAGTTTTGCTGCTGGATCTACTACAACAACAACAACTGCCAATACAATGCCACCTCAAGCAGCACCTACTGCTTGGCAACCACAACCGAATACAAATACTGTGCCTCAAAACGTGCAACCTTTAAATCAATCACAACCACCACAACAACAACAAAAAGCACCTGCACAGTTATCAGCTGCTCAACAACGTCTTCAAGCAATAAGACAACAACAACAACAACAAGCAGCTACACAACAAGCTCCGCCAGCTACTTCATCTAATCAATATTCTCTTAAGAATCGACGTAAGTTTTTTTTTTTGAAAAATAAAATAAATTTCAATAAAAATGATCTCCTATTTTAGAGACTCAATCACGATATGTTGATGTACTTGCTTCAACTAAAGGTGCTGTCGCGTCAAATCCTAATGTTTCTCTTGATAATCTTATGCCAACACCTTCATCTGGTATGCCTACATATACACCATCAAATCAACCAAATAATTATTTTGTACCAGGTTAGTATAAAATCAAATCTTTTGTTTTGCTTCTTGTTTGACAATAATAAAGCTTATTGCTAGTAATTGCATTGTCTTGACTGCCCTGCTTTAGAAATTCGTCTTGCAAATGATTCAACCGACGCCGAAGTTTCGTGGATCAATTCTCATGTAACATTATTTAAACTAACCAAAAAAAAAATAATCAATTAACACGCATGTGTTGTCAGTCACTTAACCCTTTCATAACGGGAATTTGAGCTATTTTTCGTTTATTCTAAATTCTTATTAATACTTAATCATCTCATATATCTATTTTTTTAATTTTTTTCAGGTCCCATACCATCAACAACAGACAGTAATGAACAATCATCATCTTGATCAAAAACTTTAAATTTTTTTTGATTTTAATAAAGACAAAAAAGTATAGCTTAATGATTTTATCTGTTCATTGGTTATGGTTTTAGAATGAGATCTTTTGTTTTTGCGCCTTTCTTATTTTCGTTGTTATATTTGTTTTTTGGTGATTGTCGAACGTATACACATTCTGTTCCGTTTTTTTTTTTCTTTTTTTTTTCTCGTTAAAAATTCTATCTATTTTCTCTTAACTGCTTATTTATTTGCATTGATATAACATGTGAGGAGGAGCTTGTGCACACATAGCCTATCTTTGTTTCTCCCCGCCGAATCATTTTATTGTAAATGTGTACGTGCGCATTTTACTGAAATTGTTTTGTTTCTTGTGAACGCCAATTAAAACATTTTATGTGATAGATAAGAAAATGAAAACAACAGATATTATCTATACATAAATTTGTATCAAAACAGATTGATACAAAAGAAAATCTATGAACTGTATATATATATATCTATTCGTAAAGTATATTGAAAGAAGATGATATTATGCATAGCTCTTTAAATACAATACTATTCAATTAATATGATGAATTGTTTTTCATATTGAGATCAACTAAAAATACTTTCTAAAGTAAATATTGTGAAATCATTTAGTATCATATTCTTATAAGTAATTGAGATGATTTCCAACTCTTAAAATGACAGATCAAATATCATAAGATTGGATTTCTTTGTTTTCATCTAGTCAATCGATTGTATGAAAATTTGCTTTATGAACAAAGAATGTCATTAATAAAAAAGGAATATAATGATTAACATTCATGTGAGATCAACTGGAAATAAAATCTATTTGTATTTCTTTGAACTACTACAATAGTGAACATGATTAATCTAAAAGAAAAAAAACTCCTATATCCGAAAGGTTTTCTTTTTCGTGGTATTCATATAAAAACCTTGACATTCGATATGGTTTGTACAAGGATATTTTTTGCGAATATAATAAGTTGATAAGTGCACTTTATTTCGAGAAAAAGGAAGGACATCCTATCCATCATTTATGTATATAGAAATAAAAAATCATTCATCCATAATCGATATACATATTGAACCCGTTTGACCTTCTTTTATAGTAGAAATTTAGTCATATTCATCGATACAAACCTACAAATCGGTAACATGCATCATACTATTCCTCAATATTTACTTATATTAATTGTAACTGCAATTCTTGTTAATCAAGTTACTGGTCAATGCATTTATCCAGCATGGGAAACAACTTGTCAGAAATATTGTCTCGACCATAAATACTATAATATCCAAAGAAATCAATGTTGGAGTAAGAATCCTAAGAATTTACTATGCAAATGTAATGATCATGATTTAACGTCTGTCATCAAGGAAAAATTTACGACACCTAAAGATGTCAACGAAATAGTAGATGGTTCCTCTTAATCTATATTAAAACAAAATATTAAACAATTGTTCATATTGAACTTAGCCTTCTGCATTTATCGTTTATTTACTAAATATTTATTCATTTGCTTGTAGTGATTTAATGAAGTCTATAATAACAAAGTTATTTGTAGTTTAATTAATAAAATATAATTTTAGACTAATTTTATTTGTTATAATTTTTAATAGAAAAATAAATCTCATATATGAAATTAATCTACATAATTAATGATTCGATTTCTGAAGGTTTTTTTTTCTATATATTTTTCTTTAAATTAATTAATATTATCTTTCCTATTTTCGGATTTTATAAGAATGAATGTGTTATTTTCTTCCCTAATCCAATTATAGTAATGATTGGAATTTTAAACATTCTTATTCAAGGTTTATTTATTTATGTGAAGCATTATATACTACTAAAAAGACCTTGATGTAAAGAATACAAAAAAAAATCGTTCATTATATTAAAATCTTAAGATCAATCATTCTGCTATTTATCTCAATTAAATCTAATTTGATTATATAGACAAATCCTATTAGCCAGATGATAATTTGTAATACAAATACATAGGAGCAAAAAATCTTTATTATAATAATATTAATGAAAAGAAAAATACCAAAATTATTTTCACAAAAAATACTTCTAATTAAGAGATAAAGACACACACACACGCAGAGAAATTAATACATGTCAGTAATTCCCAAATGATTACTAAGAATAGAAAAATAATTCCATTTATGTGTTCATATACATTTAAAAATAGAAAAGAAAAACATTAAGAATAAGTATGTTTGTAGTGCTTATGAAAACTAGCAAGACAATAGGTAAAAAAATACACTCATCAAAATTTGATCAACACATTACAAGTGATCATATTCACTGTTTATATTCATAATTGATGCACAATAAATCGTAATATTTATGTTTTTCTTTCTATGTTTGTGCAAGCAACCTGAGAGGGAAAAAAGTAATTATAAGTATGGAATAAAAAATAGAAGCACGAAAAAAAAACTCAAAGAAGAAAAGACAACAAGCAGTTTAACTAATCTATTTCTTATCTAAATATTTCTAGTTTTATTCTTTTTCTTGTTTAATTTTCCATAAGTCGACGACTACGTTCAAGTAATTCATCATCATCAACATGTCCATCGGAATAACGAAAAGCGGAATAATAATTATGCCATGGTTGAGCACTCTAAATAAAAAATTTTGATTGCAGAGTCAAAAAAAACAGAGATGAATTATTTATCTTACATAAGAATCAAGATTACGTCGAAGAGTATGAATAACTTTATCACTTAGATCACCTGCTGGTGATTGTTGATGACGATAACGAAATGAATCACGTAGTAATGTTGCACTTGTTATAGGACGTGATAATCTACTGGAATAGATATCTAATTAAAGAAAAAAAAACAGGAAAATAGATTAAAATTTTAAAAATGAATATATTAAAATTGATTACAACTATCGGAAAAGGGTTATAAAAAAAACTCCAACAAAGATTTACCCGGTGCATATGATTTACGATTTGATATTGTTGCAAACTGTCGCTAGAAAAGCAAGAAGAGAAAAAAAACAGTTTCGCTATTATTTTATTTTATTTCACTCGTTTTATAATTAACAACCTGCTCTAAAGATTTGGCTCTTTGACTTTGTGCACTATGAATACGATGCAATCGACATATAGCACAATCCTCAGTCGAATGAAATTCTAGATATGTTTTAGATAGAAGATATTTAAAAGAAAATAAATAATCAAAATTTAATTTACCATCATCTCTATTATGATAATCATCATTATCATTATTATATAAATTAGAACGTCGTTCAGGTGTTATTGAACGTCCTTGTTGTTCAAAATCAAAAGATTGAGATGATCGTATTGGACGACGAGATGGTGATGGTGAACGTGTTCGTACTTTTATCGGACTATGACTTCGATTATGAACTGGAGAAACTGATCGAGAACGATTCGAACCATCATGTAATGATGTTAAACTTCCTGCACGAGATAATGAATAATCATTAACAACTAAACCTTCATTAAGGACAACATGTGATTTCGGTTTACGACCAATTAGATTATCATTAACCTATATATATATATGCTTTCGAAATATTTTTTTACATAATCAGTTAAACTTACATGTCGTACGACAAATGGTTTTCGTCCAATAGTTTTATCGAGTTCAACAACATATTTAACTTCTCCTGGAATAGCTAATTCACGTAGTTTTTCTTGTGTTTCACGATGTGAATAATCATTTTTTACTGCAGACGATATTGTATGAGATGTTAATGAACGTGATACATTTGGTGAATTATTTGATGAAGATATACTAAAGAATATTTTTTTTAAACATTCTATGAATGTTAATAAATTAATAATACCGTTTTGGATATGCAGATGATGGTTTCCATACTGGAGATTTTGCTCGTTTTGGCTAGAAAAAAAAGATAATTTCTCACATTGAAAAAGCTCCTATAAGAATAATCATACACTTTTTCCATAAGAATCAATTGGTTTTGTTTGTTTATGACTTTTATTAACTTTTCTAGTTCCACTACCTTCATTTAAACATGGATTAAGTGTAAATTCAAAACTAGGTGAAACACCTGGAAATTCAATTGTTCGACTTAAAAGTACATAACGTCGTGAGCCTGTATATTCAATTCGATCCCATGAATGTGGATACAGAAAATCTTTTGCACTGGTTTCATAACTTGCCAAAAGAATTGGTGATGAACCATTACTTTGCAGTAATTCAATAAGAACATGTTCTCCTATTTAAATTAAATATTGAACTATACAACTTCTTTGTTCTTTTCAAAATTCTTACGTTTAAGTCGTTCAATAATATCTCGTGAATCATAACATGATTTAAAAGTCTATATCAAAAAATTTATATTCTTACTGAAATAATATAATTCGAAACATACTTTATCAAATATAAATGTTTGATCTATATTTATCGGTAAATAAGGCGGCATCATACGTGTACGTTTATGAATACCCAATAAACAAATATTAATATAAAGATCACCTTTTGTTGTTAATCGAGTACCGGGTGCATCAACTGCATGTACACCCATTTCAACAGAATATCTATAGGCTTTACCTGATTTTGCCATTGGCACTTTTCGGATATTAGTTTTTGTATGCAAAAAAATATAATCTATACAAATAATATTTATTTTGAAATATAAATGATTTTTTACGACCGCAGAAAAAAAGAGTGATTAAGTTGTAAATAGCCATCAGTCAATAAGAAGATATATGTTACGATGACTACCGTTTTATTATTCTCATTAAAATATTAGAAATATAATTTACTAGAAATTATTATTATTTTTAATTAATTTTTATATAAATTAGATAGATAAAGTATTATTGAAATTAGCGACATCTATTGATAGAAGAAAAAAATAATTCAATTCAGTCTTTTCTAAAGAAATCGATTGAATTGATTTGAATATTTTTATTTTAGAATTCATAGATTTGCTTGCAAATTAACATTATTTCAGACTAAAATAAATAATGAATGGTAGAAATACTGTCAATTTAAAAAATATAATACTTCTTGTTCATTCGTTAATACCTTTGTTTATTTTTATCTATATTTTATGAGTCAAAGAAAGAGGAGAGGATAGGATTTCTATTATTATTCATCACTATTCTTCACATTTATAAATAACAGTGTATATATATATAACTCGTTTGATGTATATTTCTTTTCAGGATATTTTTTTGCATTATACATTTTTTAAGAACTATATTTCTTTTAGATAAGCTTTTGAAAATATTGAATTGAAAAAAGAATGACAGACGATAAGAAAGATTCAGCGAAAGAACTGGATACATGGATTGAACAATTAAAAGAATGTAAACAATTACAAGAGAATCATGTTAAATCTTTATGTGATCGTGCTAAAGATATTCTTTCAAAAGAATCTAATGTACAAGAAGTTCATTGTCCAGTAACAGTTTGCGGCGATGTACATGTAAGAAATAGAAAAAAAACAAGTATACTGATACATTCTTAACATATTCAAATGTTTTCTTTTATTATTCTAGGGTCAGTTTCATGATTTAATGGAATTATTTAAAATAGGTGGTAATGCACCCGATACAAATTATTTATTTATGGGAGATTATGTTGATCGTGGATATTATTCAGTAGAAACAGTCACATTACTTGTTGCTCTTAAAGTTCGTTATAAAGATCGAATAACTATACTTCGTGGAAATCATGAATCTCGACAGATTACACAAGTCTATGGATTTTATGATGAATGTTTAAGGAAATATGGCAATGCTAATGTGTGGAAATATTTTACTGATCTATTTGATTATCTTCCATTGACAGCTATTGTTGATAATCAAATTTTTTGTTTACATGGTGGTCTTAGTCCGTCAATCGATACATTAGATCATATTAGAGCGTTAGATCGAATTCAAGAAGTACCACACGAAGGACCCATGTGTGATCTATTATGGTAAATTATAATTAAAAAAAATTCATTTATATTTATTTATATTTATATGTTTAGGTCTGATCCTGATGATCGAGGTGGTTGGGGTATTTCACCACGTGGTGCTGGTTATACATTTGGACAAGATATTTCCGAGACATTCAATCATACAAACGGTTTACAGTTAGTTTCTCGTGCTCATCAACTTGTAATGGAAGGTTCGTAGAATTTTGTATTATTTTCATGATTATTATCTATATTTAAATATCTAAGTTGAGCTTTTCCATTAAAATTTTTCTTTAAATATTTTTTCAGGATACAATTGGTGTCATGATAAAAATGTAGTAACAATATTTTCTGCACCTAATTATTGTTATCGTTGTGGAAATCAAGCAGCAATTATGGAATTAGATGATTCATTGAAATATTCATTTCTTCAATTTGATCCCGCACCACGACGAGGTGAACCACATGTAACACGAAAAACTCCAGACTATTTTCTTTAATTTATATCTTTTATTTTCTGTCCATATCTACGTAAGAAAAAAAACTTTAACTTCTCTTTTTTTGTTCCTTAAAATCTTTGTATACAAGTCTTATGTTGTTTATCGTTGTCTTTACGAAAATGTTTTTCTTTTGCTCGTCCTCTTTCTATCGTGATGTGTGTATTTTCAGCATTGAAATAAAAAAAATAGAGATCAAACGAAGTTACTTGAGCAAAAGGATGATGATGCTGGTGGTGATGATTATTATTATTATTATTTCTGCTTATTTCTTTTTTTTCTTCTTCTTTCTTATTCGATCAGTCAGTGTGCATTTTGAATGCTATTTCTTTTTGTCTTTACTTGATCGTGATCAACCGCTATTTGTAATTCATTTCACTATTACTATTTTTCTTCTCTTTTTTTCTCATTATTCTGTCGAAAAAAAAATGACAAATTTATTTATAAATGTTTAACTTACGTTCGTTGCTAGACATATTTTTTGTATGTATAGTTATTCGAGTGTTTGTTGAATGACAGTGTCAGTAAGTTTTTTTTTTCCTTCGCTTTTGTCCCTTTCTATTCTTTTTTGTCTTACGCATATATATGAAACGTTTTTTTTTCTGAAAATACATGAATCTATCATCATTACAGATGAATATAAAATAAATAAATGAAAATCATAATATGAATATGAGGAAAAACTATATTTGTTTTTATTTATAGATAAAGAATTCTTTGTGTTAAAAATGTACAAAAATATTATTAATCGACACTAAATAAATGTTTTAAATGTGTTTTCGTTTTTATTTGATAAATTATATTCTTCGTGTTTTTCGTGTAGGTTGAGTAATTAAATTATCTTTGGATGAAACTTGATGAATTTGATTTGAATCATAAATACTATCATCAAATGGTTGTCCCGCAGTTGATAGTAGAAGAACTGATGATTGAGGATTTCGATGTGAATGATGTCTTTTCGAATGTTTTGATGTTGGAATCAATCTTGACATTTGCGATAACAATGAATGTTGTTTATCTGAATGTGATTTTCTATTTTGAACAGGTAGATTTTCTTTTGTTGATAAATTATGATATTTTCTAAATGCTGAAGCAAGTGTTCGTGGATGTTCGGAAAGATCCTAAAATAAAAATATATCAAAATCTTTTCAATAGATGATGTTTTCTTACTTGAACTGAAGCGACAAGTTGAAATCGATGACGACTTTGATATGATATAGTTTTATCATCATTATATTTTCGACGTAATTTACCAGTTGATTTCCAATATTGAAAAAATGCTGCCCAATCTATAGTTGATACTAATTGTAAATCAAGTTGAATATTTTCTTTATAATGTATTCGTGCTTGTTCAATATGTGATTCAAGTGTTTGAGATATTGTTGATCCATATATACTATTTAATATATCATTTAAATTTGTTGCATATCGACATGGTATATGACTATCTAAATTCATTTCAATAACTAAACCTTCTTGTGTTAAACCAACAAGTACATCATATGTATGTTGACGAACAAGTTGAAAATATTGACAAAGAAAATCATTTGGTACAGGACCACGTAGAAGACGAATACAATTATTATTATTATCATTGTAAACTGTAACATATTTAATTAATTGACCAATATTTGGTGTTTGAGTTGAATGAAGATATATTTCTGGTTGATCTTGTTGTTGTTCAATTGATGTCGAAATAATTGAAAAACGACCAGATTGATCAGTTTTTATAAAAACGGTATAACCATCTTCATCATTACATTCAAGATAATCATTTGGAATTCGATGACCATCATTAGTTGATACAAATGAACGATGAACACATTCAGCACGAAAAATAGCACCTTGAGGATATTCTTTATTTAACCATTGAGACACCGTTGGATCTTGATAATAACCTAATGTACGATCACGTGACATAAATACGATCGAACATTTTAAAGTTGATGTAAATGCAATTAATTGCTCAAGATTTGTATAAACTCGTGCTGAACGTTGACCATTACGAACAAATTCAAATAATCCTTATATAAATATAAAAAAAACATTAAAATTCATTATTTTATTAAAATACTAACCTTTATATAAATCTGTTATAGCAAAAGTACAATGTTTAGGATGAACATCAAATTGATCATTATAATGATCATGTTGTTGTAGTGGAGTAAATAAAAGTTTATTTGAAATATTTCGTTCGAAAAAAAATATGGTTTGATAATTATCTGTTGCTGTTGTTTGTTGTTCATCATCAGTATTAAGAAATGATACAAGTAATGGTAATTGATATGCTGTTCGTTTAAGAATATGTTTTAATGAACTATATGTATCACTCCATACACATTGAGATATAATCTCTTGTCGAAGACGTACACTTTCAGTTGAATAGAATATTTTACTCATTTGCTTCTATTTTTGTTAGAAGGTAAATATTCACTCATGTAATGTTATGCTGAAATATTACTGTCTTCTGTATTTTACGCATGATCGAACGGCGGGGGATAATGACGTCGGTGTATTGATTATACATGTTATAGTGAGAAAAAGAAAAAACTAGAAAGTCAGGAAGCATTTTTGAGATACATAAAAATAGTTAATAGTAGATTAGGAAGAGAAATCTATGTGTTTATTGATGCTATAATTTGTTTGTCGAAGGAAAAGGTAAAAACCAAATATAACGGCAAACTACATGATATATAATGCTGATAGTTGAATCATCTATTTACTAGTTTAAAAAAGAACTAGAGAGTATATATATATATATAGAAAAAAAGGCAACTAATGCGTAGTTAATGTTGTTGTACTTTGTCGTCGTCGTTATCGTTGCTTTCTTTCTTATTTTTTTTCCTTTTATTTTTTATCGTAAATGTTTGTCTATTCACGTATTAATACATTATACGATTAATTTATACCCTACATAATAGATATTTGTTTTTGTATTTGAATATGAAAGATTTTTAGTTAAACTCAAAAAAATTCGTATATATATTACACAAAAATAAATAAGATATTAATTGATCTGTAAAGATAATAAAATGATTTGTTTTTCGTTTTCAATTTCATATCTTAATCGAAAAATTAATTGAAAATTTTTCGTATTGAATAGAACGTAAAATATTTATTTTTTATTTGAATTGCGCAAGTCATTTCCTTTTCTCTACAATTACTCATTCTGGTCATATATTCGTTCTTTCTTTTTTTTTCTCTACTAGATATATTTCCTTGTTATTTTTTTTTTGCTTTTCTTTCATCATATGCCAGCAATTCTCTTTCTCAAATGGCGTCGTCATTAGTCGTAGAAAAAAAGAAAAAAACGAATGCAACAAGATGAAAGGCGTCAATTCATCATTTTATTCATCGTCATCTTTACTCAATATTATGATACCACAGTTTCACCAATTACTACCGATAGAGACACCCTTATCAGGTATGATATTTTCGTAAAAACTGTATTTTATTTTCGTTGGGAATTTTTTTATTTATCTAGGAAATTGGTTAAATACGAACTATTCTTCAGAATTATCAACAACAACAAATAAATTATTATCACCGCCAAATTCGATTACACCATCATCAATTTGTACTGGTAAATTAAAATATTAAATCGATTGATTTTGATTTATTCGATTTAGATTTATCTGAAAGTGATTATCAACCAATTGATCTTACTCAGGCACGTAAATATTCCCTATCATCACCTCCATTATCAAATATTAAAAGTGAATCCATTGATTCAATTGATTCCAACATGGTTGCTTCTCATTATGAACAAAAATTTAAAGAAAAATCAAAATTTTCATTTCAAACAACAACAACAACAACAACAACAACAACAAGACAATATTCAAATTTTAGTATCGAACATATTTTATCATCTCAATCGCCAACTTATGAATTTTTATCTATAAGATACAATCGAATTAATAGTATATTTTCAAAGAAAAAAACGAAACATTATTCTGATCATAATCTTCATCAAATAATTCATCGTAAAAAACGACATAGATCAAGTAACAAATCTTATTTATCTCAATATTTTAATCAACCTCAAGAAATCCTTATTCGATATATACTTGATTTCTATAATGATTTAATTAATCAACAAAATCAGATAAAAAAACCAAAGAATTTTTTTACAATTGATCCACTTAAACAATTAGCTGAAATTGCTTGTAAACTTGATACTCGTCATAAAAAATCTCTATTAAATGAAAATATGTTAACAATAGAAAATTATGATTCATTATTGAAACAATGTCATTTATTAATAAAACAAATCTATCAAAAATATCAACGTAAAAGAATTACAAAACGTCTCTATCATAATTCAAAACTTACATTCAAAAATCGACTTCTTCAATGTTCATTATCAATTTTAAATATTTTACAAATGAAAAAAAATATTCTATTATATAAATCAAATCGTACACATCGTCATATGTTATTGTCAGATATTAAAAGAAAAGATACGAAAAAGAAAATGATCAAATCAATTTGTTTTCATTTAAAATCTGACCAAATTACTTCCAATCTTGAAATACTTTTACCAAATAATGGTCTTATATATGAAGCTACTATACAACCAATTGGCGATATTAATGATTTATTAGTTGTACGATTACATCGTGAAAGACAAACTTATTTAATACCTATACATGATCTATGTCGCTTAGCATGTCCTAAAATGATACCAGACAATGTTGATATTCTGTCAAAAGGTTTACGTGTTTGTGCATATTGGAGTACGAGTCTACGTGGTCTTCATCCAGCGATTATTGATAAAATACCAACAGAAATGAATGAATCATCTATGGTGGGTTTAATATTTGATGATGGTGATACAGGATTAATTAAACTTGATGAAATACGTTTATTACCTGATGGTTATGATGTAAAAGGAATTAATTTGGATGAATGGCGTGTATCTTCTTTTCAAATTCCTTCATCTCCATTAACTGGTCGTCGTACGTGTCGTCGTGTTTCATCGAATTCATCTAGTAATACAACCGGTTCTATAAAAAAAGTCAAAAAAGAAAAAACATCCTCAATATTAATTCCTCAATGGACATTAAATCCTCGAAATTCAACAATACGTCGTCATGACAATAAAGAAACTCTTCATATTGGTGATTGTGTTATATTACATGGTGTTGATCAATCTCTGTCATACATTGGCAAGGTGCTGAAATTTTATTATAGTAAAACACTTCAACAAGATTTAGTTAAAATACAATGGTATTATAGTCCACAAGAAACTCCCGTGGGCCTTCATGAAGATGATTTATCTGTAAGTTTATAAAAAAAATCATCGTATTTCAACATGTTTGTGTTTTTTGTTTCATTTGCAGGGTGCTCTTTATGAGAGTACACATATAGATGAAAATCCAATTTCAACCGTAAGATCTAAGGGTACTATTTATGAATCGTATGACGATTATGTAAAGAAAACCGATTATGGAAAAAATCGAAAAGAAACAGATTTTTATCTTGTTGGTCATTATAATTTAAAATCAGGTGAATTACAACGATATGATAATAAATTGGAATAGAAGCAATATAAACATGTTTTGTTGAACAGTGATATTCAAGATGGTTTTTGTTTTCTTGTTCCGTTGTATATATTTATATGTATTTGATGTTTAACAATCAAGAGACTTAGTGAAGTCATAATTATATTATATATATCTATACATATATGTATGTGTTTGTGTGCTTATTATTGACTTTTTTCTTAAGAAAGAAAATAAAAAGATTATTATAAATGTTTAGTCAATTTTCGAAAAAAACAAAAGCAAATAAAAAAATGAAATGAATATAAATAGAAAAAATGACAGTCTATTTGTTAATATAATTCCATTACAAAAATCCGTGTCACAAAAACAATATTTCTTTACTTTTTCTCTCATTTTAACATCACGACAACCATTAGCAGCATTTAATCCAATCATACTAGCTTTTGTTAAATCTTCACTTGTAAAACAACGTCGATCCGTATCAGGTATTTCATCAACCATTCGTATAGCTTTTTCACGTTCAGCTTTTGTTTTTGGTTCAATAACTTCATAGGACATCCAACATTTACCATCACATGGTTCAGCTGAATGTTGAGTAAAATCAAAATGACGAAGACATGAAAATTTACGTGATTCAGCAAAACGTTCTTGATCTGATTTTAATGAATCACAACGCCAACATTGTAATGGAGTTTGACCAAAACCACCGAATTGACTGTTGCTTACATTTATTTGTATTATAATCATGATGAAGAATAAAAAAAGCATAGCTATTGTATTTTACAATATAAAATATGTATGAACAACGATAACAACAAACCTTTGTTGAGGATTAATCATTGTTCACGTTCGAAAGAAATAATGTTTACCTTGTGACAAACGAAGACGCTCCTTTTATTTGAGATAAATACTGAATAAAAATGCATCCTACGCTGTTCATACAGAAAGAAAGTAAAACAACATTTTTTTCTCTTTTAGTTGCATTCAAAGAGATAATTGTAGTCCAATACCCCATTTATATTTATGTGTACTCCAAGAATATAAACTAAATGCTTGTAAAACAATTGGTAAATGACGAATTTGATGTGTTAAAGCAATACCCATTTCATTCTGAGTATTAACTAAAGTATTGACTCGTAAATCTATTTTATTTAAATACCATTGAGACATGAAACTAAATTTAATTGGTTTTTGTTGTTGATCATAATCTATTACTTTTTCAGTAAGTAAACCTATAGTAAGATTTTCATTTATACAACGTTGAATACCGATTATATAATTTTTGAATGGATGATATAGATCACATTTGAATATAAGTGAATCAGAAGAATGTTTAAGACGAAGACCAATATCAGCAAATTTTTCTTTTAAATTATTATTTTTTACTTTAAAATCAATTCCACCATCGATTCGATAATTCATTTGTTGCCATAGACATGCAAAATAACTAAATTGAATATTAGATGAATGTTGTTGTGTTTCATATTCACTAATTAATTCACATATTCCTTTAGGATAATGATATTCTATATGTGATGAAAATTTTATTTGTGGTTTTGTTCTTAAACGAAATGCTGTTGTTAGAGATTCTGTCCATCGATGATTGATACTCAACATTAAATTCTTATCATAAGTATGAAATTTAATAATACCAGTCGGTGTATTTGTTTCATTTCTACCAATTAAACTATAGAATGTTATATTTTTTAACAAGTCTAATTTATATTGTTGCATATTAATACCAACATTTATTCTAGGTAACTGCAATAAAGATGTTAATTTATCTGTGCTTAAACCAAATGTAAATGCTGATTGATGAAATAAACCATTGATTATATTAAAAAAATTAGTTAATTCATCAAATCGACAATCGCTGCTATTCGTAAGTGAACGAAGACGAAGTTCACTATCTAATACTTGTACTGTTTTCTTGATTGGTCTATTAATATAACAGTCGTCGGTAGACATTTCTCTCTCTCTTGAATTGTGTATAATTATTATTTACAATATACGGCGCAAAAATTAAATGAGCTCTTTATATTAACCTATAGAAACTAAATTTTTGATCATTCAATATCAAATGTCAGATCATCTGACAGTACCTTTGCAAAACTATATTCTCCATATGTAACTGATGTAAACTTTATTTAGAAAAAAAAATTTAAATCAGAATAATCATTGTTTTCAATGAATCTTTTCAGTTACTGGAGCAACTATTAAGACTGAGTGTACCATTACATATGCATGCATATGGAATCTGTGGACTATTAGTATTTATACAAACACCAGGTGTACAATCCAATGGACATTCTAAAAGAGAGAAATCAGAGAGAGATCGAGATCAAACTACTTTACCTTGTGTTTGAATATTTGTTTGGCAGTTCTCGCCTGTAATTTTTTCTGGACAATAACACTTATATGAATTATCATACTGGATGCAAGTACCGTTGTTCAAACATGGGGATGGGTTACAAAGATTTGTCACATTTTGAAAGTCTTGACACAAATAACCGCTCGTGTTTGAAGGACATATACATTGAAATGTATCGTTATTAGCAATGCATGTACCACCGTTCATACAAGGTTCATATTGGCATACATGAGAGTTGTTTAATTCCTGTTCACAAAATTTCCCACTGGTTTCCATAGGACAAATACATACGATCTCATTTTGTCCACGATTAACACAGGTACCACCGTTCAGACATGGTGAAAAGCTACATAAATCTAATGTTTGACTGTACTCACAATTGTAGCCTGTATATGAAGGTGGACATTCACAACGGTAACTATCATTTGTAGCAAAACAACTACCATTGTTCAAGCAAGGTGAGGATGCACATCCATTATATACTACTTCTTGCTCACAGAACCTGCCAGTTCTGTCGTATCCACAATAACAATAGAAATCAGTGTTGTTACTCACAGCAAAGCAATGACCATTATTTAAACATGGTCTAGATGCACATGGGTGACTGGCAACGTACTTCTCACACAGTTCACCCGTTCGATCTGGTGAGCATAAACACTTGAATGTATCATTAGTTGCAATACAAGTACCACCAGCAACACAAGGCCATGTATCACATGGATTGGAGGTTGTGTAATTTGCCTCGCATTGTGAGCCGCTTGTATTATAAGGGCATATACACTGAGCACTTCCATTATAAGACACACAGCTACCACCGTTGTAACACTGTAACATATCACATGGATTTAATGAGACCAAATGCTCACACCAACGACCACTGGCTGGGTATGGACAGTAACAATACGTTTCATTACCATAGACAGCACAGCTACCACCATTGTAACACGTGATATTATTACATGGATTGGATGTGGT